AACTACAAGGAACAACTAAAGTTAATGGAGTGGCTCCAGTTACACATTTTCAGAAGAAAATCAAAATTATAAATCGCTCTGGCCATCCAGCGGGATTTGGAGCATCCAATGATACTGTGTTCAGGCATTAACTGATGAACCTATGGTAAATGACCATTCATCAAAAGAGTTTGGTTTTTTTCCAGAGCACAGGTTGTTCTCTTCCTCCTTTCTTTTTAAATTGTCATATCAGTATTTAATCTGCAGTACTCTAAATGCTGTAATTTAATAACTGGAATGAGGTCAAAAACTTTAAACTCATTTATACACAGCACACATATATACTTTAAAACTAACAGTGAAATGCAAGAACAAGCCCTCACTTTTACCCCTTTCCCATCACATGTTAATTTCATTAAAAAAGGCAAAAAAAAATCTGACCACAGTCACGAGACACACAAGCTAACTGTCAGTGTTACTCAACGTAATTTAACAATTGAGTTAAGCAATGCTTGAAAAGTGTGTCGAATTCCCAGGCACACCTTTTCTGAACCTCTGAGTGCCCAGAGGCGTGAACCACCCAACACAGGGCCATTTGCTAAACTCAGACGTTGGCGTGTAAATACAAATTAAAGTTACTGAAATTAATTTAATTAACAGACGAAATTAATGAAGGCTTATAAGGGTCATCATCTGGTAATTTTTTTCCCTATGTCTCCTGAGCTCTGAACGGCAAACTAGGTGTAATCCAGGTTGGTATGGGAGCAAAACATGTCTTCTAGCAGAGGGATCCAGCCGAAGTTGCAATAGCAAGTTTCACTGTTAGCCGCTCTCCCTCTCCAGGGGAAGATGCTTTCCACATCCTTCAATGTACTTGCGCTCTTTCTTTATAGATGTGACTACTGATTTACTGCTCTGTGTGTGCAGCTCACAAAGCGGGGAGGAGGAGAGCGTGTGGCAGGACTGCTCCATGGATGCTCGGATGCCCAGTGAACAACGGGGGCTCTCCAGGAGCATCAGCTACATCCCAGCTTCAGACCCTCAACTCCAGGTGTAGTGTAGGAAGCTGTTCCTCTTTACGACAGACCAACCTTTGGCTCAGGACCTTTAACCCCCACTAGTATATACCTTTATCTCTTTTGGTGCAAGTCTTGCCATCCTCCTCCCGGGTATAGCCTTCGTGACACTCACACCTGTAGCTGCCCATGGTGTTGATACAGATCTGAGAGCACAGCGTCCCATTGCTTGTGGCACACTCGTCGATATCTGGAGAGGAGCAAGAGTTCAAAACGTCCTAAAGCTGGAGGTTTCAGACCTCAAATACAATAAAAGACTTTCTTTAAAGGTATCAGGAGATTTTGTGGTTAAATAAATGAGTAATTGCAGCACTGCTGGTACTTTGGGCTGGAGCTCTGTGCAAACTGCACTGTTATTATTACCACACCTGGCATTTTATCGGTGAACATCACTTGACCATTTCTTTGCATTAAAAAGCTCACAAGTAAAGCTCAGTCCTGCAAACCTTGGCTCCCTGGCACAGCAAACCATGCAGGGCAGGGCAGGGCAGGACTAGCCGCACAAGGACCACATGTAAATGATCGGTCCTGAATTAGATAGTGGCCGTCTGAGCCAAAGCCCAAGGATTTATTTTCATAATGAGGCCCGGTTATAGTGCTTTGAGGGTTACTGTTAGAATCATGTCCCTCGTCTCAGGCCAAAACCCCAGATATCACTCAAAACCTGCAGGGGGAATTAATAAAGGGAAAATTACACCACCCCAAGACTTCAAAGTGTTTGGGTGCATATATCTCGTTTTAGGTACTACCTCCTCATAATTTCAGAGGGATTTACATCTCTTTGTTCTGGGAACCAATCCTTCACATATTTTAAAAACACATTTATTCTGTAATAGTAAAGAGAACAAGAAAGGTTTCAGATCTAAACTGAATCCTAAAAGACCTGAGGGAGCAGGATACATCAATAACCAGAGACGAGCTCAACACGCACTTCTACCCACCCAGGCAGTAAGGCTTCTCTCTGTTCCTGTGCCTCTCCCGATCATAGCGGTACCCAGGGTAGCAAGTGCACAAGACTCGCCCAAAGTTATCTGTGCACTGCTGTTCGCAGGGAGCTTCAGAACAGACATCATAGTCTGGGGAGAGAAAAATGTGGTTAGGAAAATACCAAAGGCAGTAGTTGGGTAATACTATGACAGGAAATATTTCACCTCTCTGCTAAGTAATAAAGTCAAGTTACATTATTTTTGAGGATTGAAGAAACCTAGAAATAAAACATTTATGAGACATAAGCAAAGAATTATAGTAAAACTGTAATTGCTAATTACAGCTTTACAGTAGTTAGACTATTTCTTGAAGATGGATTTTAAGAAAGGGGCACTTTCCCAGTTTGCAGAATTTAAGACTTCTTCTCCCAGAAATATTAAACTACCTAAAAGCTTTTTGCTGTTTTCTTCCACAAACTTTTAAGTGCTGATAGCAATATTTCCTAAGCAAAATGCTGTGAAGCTAACTGCCAAATTTGGGCAGAAAGTATATCATAAGGAAAAGTTAATTAAAATTGCACAACAACTGTTCAAAGCCAGATATAACCCTTCTAGCAAAGAACACATTGTTACAAAGCCATCATCACTCTTAATAATAGCAATGTGCAGATTATGGTATGGTAAATCGCTGGCCAGGCTTGTCAGTGAAATCCCAGAAGACCGTCTGAAGTCCTCATTTGAAACCCAAAGGAGGGTGAATCTGTTTCTGATTTCACTGCTATGGAGCAGCAGAGCTGCAGTCCAGGGAATGGACACCAGAGCAAAACAGGGTCTGACCTGTATCCCTGTCCTGCCAGGGTCTGGATTTGGCCCCTGGCATCAGGCTGGTGGTGGCAGGGCTGGGGGCAGATGAGCAGCCCCCAGCCATGGGTGCAAGGGCTTCACAGCACCATGAGAATCACCAGGAGAAGAAAGGAGCTGAAGCAGCATCTAGTCTCAGAACCAGCTCAGGCAAACCCTGCTGAAGGTCTTGTTTTATGCCAAAGCAAGTGGCAGCTTCTGTGATCATTTCAGAGGAACATCCACCAGCACACAGCATCCACGTGGTTGTCACTGTGACCCTCCAGTGACTGGGTACTGCAAGGCCACAGCAGAAATATCTTGTCCCTGCTCCAGACCAAATACATCTAAACCAAACCTAACTGTTCCGACTGAGCTCCCAGCAATGCACTATGTTTCCATATATACAGTATAAAATAATTAAAAAACAAACTAATTTTTGACTCACACTAATGACTAGCAGACATCTCTAGGTATGATGATTTTTCCAAACAATTAAAATGAACTAATAGATGGTAAACCAAGTGAAACCACATTTGCTGTACAAAGTATATAAAGCACATGTGTAGCACTGGGGTTAAAAGTGACAGTGTGCCAAGATACTGAAAAGCACCAAATGAAACTTAACAAGCTGCTGGACGTCACACCAGAGCCCCTTAGATGGAGAAACACTATTGTAATGGTGCCAAGCATTTCCTCCCTGGTGTTTGTTGCCTTTTGAATAGCAGGCATCCTTTCTTTCCTTCTTACTTCACAACTGTGTTGATTTTAACTCTTGAGGTCTGCCCACAGTGCTGTGGCAGTGAATGGTAGTGCCAGGACTCCCAGCATTAACCAGAGTTGAACAGTGCAGAGCCTTGCATAAGCGTGGAAGGAAAACATGGCCCTTGCCTTCAAACACAGTCAGCCTGGGAGCTAGTTTGGTTTTTTAAGTGATGCTGGGGCTATGAACTCCCGTTATGTTTGGCACTACTAAATAGTCCCAAATATAAAGCAGTAGTGGTGTTTTTCCTGGGCATGGTTGCAATTTTCATTTTCCACTGAAATAAAATCAGATGCAGAACAGGCTAGTATGCCCAGCACTGAGGTGAACATGCCTGGTCCTCAGCCAACGTGCCCACACAGATGCTGGATTTGGCCTGTGCCGCCTTCACTCTATTCAGAGCAGAGGTAAAATGAGCTCTGTCCTCCTTGCATCTGCATGAACAGATATGCCCTAATAAAATCACAAAAACCAGCACTGGAAGGGACCATCTCCCACCACAAGCAGGACTAGCTATGCCTAAACCTTTCCCAATAGACATTCATCTAACCCGCACCTAGAAACCCCTCAAGGATGGAGATGCTCTGTCATGCAAGATTAAGTATCCTTGAAGATAGAAGGCTTTTTACTCATATCTAATCCAAACTCCCCTTATAGACATTTAAGCCCATTATTTTTGTCCTCTTCCTCTTGGCCATGAGGAATAGTTTACTTTCCCCCTTGCAGCAAGTTTTCACATTCTAAAAACTGTTATCATGTCTCCTCTCAGACTCCTTTTCTCTAGACTAAACAACACCAGTTCTTTTTAATCATCTCTCTTTTGCCACATTTCATGTGACTAGCCTTTAAATTCAGTTTTCACATCCACCTTAGCAGAGTTCCATCAAGACCATTGCTTCATTTGCTTTCATATAAAGCTACGGAAGGGTCCACGAGGTGGAAATCACACAGTCAACCCAAATCATGTGATGGCTGTGGGCAGGTCCCAGGTCACAGAGCTCTGCATTCCCAGGACTTTGGTCCCAGGCAGCACAACTCCCTCAGGAATAGTCCTCACAACTGGGATGGAATTGGGCAAAAGCTGCTGCACCACCTCCATGCACTCTGAAGAACTGAGGATGCACACACCCTCTCATCTTCAAGCCCCTTGCCTGCCAGCCCAACCTAAGAAATGTGGTTTGAGGATGAATCAAAGCCACACGGTGAGGATCAGGCAGTTCCAGACTTTGGGAAAATAGAAAAAACTGAAGCAGAGTAACAAATGTCTCTACGTACTCAGGAACATGGGGACTCAGGAATGACAACACAGCATGGGAAGTTGTACCAAGGAAATTTCTGAAATAGCATTAGTGAGGAAAGGGCAGGTCTGATTAGTGTTTGCCTGTCATACAGAATTTTGCTCTGAATTAATCCATAGCCAAGAAACTCAACAAACC